CCTCCATCCCACCAGGGCAGGCGGAGTGAGTGAGTGGCTGCGTGGTGCTTAGTTGCTGGCTGGGGTTAAACCACAACATACCTGTACCTTACTTAAGAGCTGCACATTTCTATTTCAAGAAGGCTATGTGCAGTTATTTTCTTTAAGCCTTTCTGTGCAATTTTAACCTTCTCAGTTTGCTAAGTTCTGAATACATACTAAGGCAAAGTAAGATTTGAGTAGTAGCAAATCTACTTTTTAAAGGCAACAGGTCTAGGAACAGACATTGTTGGAAATTTGACTTCTGTGTTTTTCATGGCTTTCAATAATCTTCCAAATAAAGCTCACATTTCTTTTATAATTCTGTGGAAATCCCAGACATTTGACCAGGGAAATTAAGAGCTTCGCTCAGTTTGAGAAGCACCTTACTTGTAAGCAATCCCAGTAGCACACATTAAGTGTGCTAATAAAGTGTTACTGAGCACATAATGCAGCATCTAACATTTGGATAACACCACATGACTAAATGCCAGTCATTCCAACCATTCCTAAGTTTTCTTTCTTTGTTTTAAGTTACTTTTCTTAGAAAACGCTATATGCAACAACTAAATTCTATTATATGCACAAATAAACACATCATTGCTGTCATGATTTTCAAAATATAATTCTACTTTGCATGTCAGTGTAAATTTGCAGATGACACCTTCTATTCTAAAAGGAAGATCTGTTAATCTGTATTGTCGGGTTTTCACAAGTGTTGAAATGAGAAACAGCAATGTACAAGGTTGCCTTACTTAGCTTTAGTTTAGGGGATGCAACATCATCATCTTCAGCTAGGGGTCCCAGTTCTTTCCTTTTTTCTTTAAGGATCTTTTCCAACATATGAGCATCATTGTATACCTATTAATCAGTAAAGTAATCAAAAACCAAAACAAAACAAGGTTTACTGTTTTTAGACTAGTTTAGAACTAGCTCCTAAGAAACATTTAAATGTTAGTTTGAAAAAGCTGAATGCAAAACCAAGTACTTGATTAAAAAGAAAGGCTTATTTCTCAAATGTACACCTTTAATAGACTTATACAGGTAAGCAGAACTGATGAACACCGTCTAAATCAGGAAGATATAAATAAGTTATCCAATTAAACTGCATTTCTATTCTAAAGACTACAAAATGGCAAGATGCAGTTGTCTTATCAACTTCCTCATCAAACCATTCTGGTGAGCAATGAAAGATCTCTTGAACTATTGTGATTCCACGAAAGTACGCAGGACTAGAAGAAGTCCTCCTGGGTCTTCAGATCCAAGCCTGGTGAACGCAACCTCATCATAAAGTCCTGTACAGTAGCTGATCAAGTTCCTCATTAGAAATAGCTGGAGGTTTCTTACCACCGCTATGTTCCACAACATCATGCTTGCTGGCTGAGAAACATCACAATATAGAAACACCCTAGAATAAATTTGTAAGTGAAAAGCATATTCCCTTCAGGCTCCTTTTGCTAGACTAAACAGGTCTTGTAGTCTGATCTCCCACACTTTCCCACTTTCATGAAAACAAAGCTGGTTTCTTTCCAACTAAGACATCCTTTCTCAGAGGTTCTGAGCTCCAAATCACATGCGGATGACCATTCACTGTGCAAACACCTTCATGTGATTAACTGAGGATGAACAATGAGAATTTAGTAACCAGTTTATTTTTTTAAAACATACTAGGAAACATTCAGCTGACACTCTTTGTAGTGGAGGAACAAGTTTAGCTAACAGGAAATAAGTTCTAACCTTTGCAAAGGAGTGCGTTGCTTTCATGTTTATACAACTATAGACAAAGACAGAATTTAAAACACCAGCAGAAAGAAAAAGTCATGTTTCTATTTTAGTTCAATAAGCAATTACGATAAATAATGTGAGTAACAGTCAAAGCTAAATGATCTGAACATAACTTATATCTCAGCAAAGAAATAGAGAAGTAAGTGTGACTGCAGAATCAAAACACTACCTGGGAGCCTTCCTCGTTATAATGCCTTGCATTTCGGAACATGAGCTTCATGTCTTCAATCATGGCTTCTTCCCCTGCGTACTTATCATTGCGGATGTTGTGTTCTATCATTTTCAAGTCCATTGGCTCCAGGATAATTTTATAATAGTCTGGATAGTCCTTTTTGGATGGCTTAACCATAAACAGGTCACAGAGCCGTCTGCCTGTGCCCGGTTCTCGAGCTTCCAGAACTGCATTGTATAAGATCTTCATTCGTTGTTTTCGTATATTCTTTTTACTGTTAGGTTAAGAAGAACAAAAAGGAAAAGAATAAATGGCAGGGGCTCTTTTTCCCACTTCCAAACTAATATCAAAATGACATTATCCTCTACCATGATAAAACAACCACCTAAACACACACACAAGAAGTTCAACATTAAGACAGTGTACTAGAAACATAGGTCCATTTGCAAATGACAGCATCATAACCAGCAATCTGCTAAATATACAGCAAACTAAGATACGATTTTTCTCTCATTCACCTTGAAGTTTTCTACAGAATAAAACAAATAACTAGTTTTCAAAAGTGCAAAGGTCAAAAGGAGCTCTAAGCACTTTCCAGCTGCAGAGAAAACAGATCAATCAAGACTAGGCATCTGAATCCAAGACCTCAAGATCTAGTGCAAACAGGGAAAAACCCCTCATCCAGTATCTTCATCACTACCTCTGCCGAATACAGAATATCTAAGACTTGAGCTATTTATCTCAGAGTAATTCCGTATCTTCTTCAGTACCAGATACAAGAAAAATAAGGACACCAAGAAAGTAGTAGAAAGAAGGGTCTGAATTGCTTAAATGTCTGTCAACCACAGTCAAATGAAGTTACAAGTCAATAAAGCTCACCAAAACTGCAAACCCAGGTAGAAAACAGCCATGTACATGCTATCACCACAAACTTTAGAGTCATCCTATGTGTAGCTATTATGGTTGTCTCAAGAAATCTGATAGCACAACCAAGACACAGCTCACCAGGAAAACAGTTTTGTCTGGCTCCCTGTACATATACTACATGATCTTTCAGCAAATCAGATAAAGGAGAGGAAAGCTTATGTTAATAACGTATAATCTCAGCTCACATACCACGGCACTCTTAGAAATGCACTCTGTACAAAGCACTTTTAAACCAGCTTCCAACTGCAATCTCTGTAAGACTTATTCAGGTAGTTATAACTCTGACTATATTATCTGTAAAGACAACAACTACCACCTTCATTTGCAGAATGTGCAAAACATCACTGTACAACTTGCTAGAAACCAAACCGCATCACAGATTATCCACCACCTCGATCTTTTCCTCCTACATTTAAAATATATCTAACTGAGCATAACCTCATGCCTCAGATACCTCTTGCTCCTTGGTGAGGTCAGCAAATTAATAAAAATCAATGTCACAACATGTGAGAAAATTCAAAATTAATCTTCTATAGGTTAACAACTTTTTTCTGCATTATCTTCACTGCTGGAAACTGTTAGTGGTTCACACTAGCAGATAAGCAATGCCAGAACAGAGACATGCTTCCAAATTCCACATTGTAACATGTTTCCAAGTTTTAACACTTAGTTCAATGAAAGTAGGTAAAGCAAAACCAAAGCAGAAATAACCTGCCAATACTGAAGATTCAGGTCACGCATCTGATACATAAAAGGGGACATTCAAACAAGTTTCTTCTGTATCACTATTATTTTCCCAATGGGATGAATTTTGCTTAGGTTATTAGTTTGCTTTTCAGCAACGTTTTGGAATTCCTCTCAGTGCTTCGCTTCTGGTATCAGCAGCATTTACAATCTTCTTTTACCTCCTATCATTCAGCAAGTGAAACTTATAACAAGTATTGAACTGACAACATCAAAAGCATTTTCAGGCTCTTTTCAGGCATGAAGAAAATAAAATCATTTTGATTTCCCTTACCTATGGAACAGAACTTTTTCTCTTTAACTGTTCTTAAATGACAAGGCCTGACAGATTTTTTTTTTTTTTCTTTTAAGCATTTCAGTATTCTCTTGCACAAGGTGATCAAAAGCAACATAGGGTTAAAAGGACACTGATGACAGTTTGACTTGCTTGATTAGGTTAGTAGTTCTCTTGGAATCTGAAGACCGCAAAACTAGCAATTTTTGCAATTTTTTGCTTCCTGATCTTCATTTGGTACTGTGGTCTGTCTTACCATTCCACTCCTTTTCTTCTTCCTAGCATCCCTAGACTGTACCACCTCCTAAATCCATGTTAACATTTTCTCTCTGCAGATTTTTTTATGAGTGTACATTGTTGTACTTACTTGATTGCTCTTCAGTGAATCTTTGCTGATGCTCTATTTCACTCCCTTCCTCCCCCCACAACTGCTGTCACTTTGACAAAACAAAGAACTAAAAATACAGGAAGCTGAAGGTCATAAGCAACACCAAAGAACGATGCTGAATTACAGTTTTACACTGGCAGTTGCTACTATTGCAATAATATTATCAGAAGTTGGAACTTATTTTAAATGATACCATGAGGCAGACTAGAGAAACTATCACTGTTGGCATGAAATACATCACTAATATTAATTGCACAACAGCTATCACTGTTAAACAATACTTTCATTATTGCTCACTAAAAGAGTATATTTTAAATCACTGTGATTTTTGTTTACATCACAGTATCCAGAATAATGAATGTATTATACTCGGTTTATCTATTTGTCAAACACTCTCTTTGGCCCAGCCACTGACAGCTAAGTAACTGAAGAGTGCAAATTCAGAAGAGACAAGCAGTCCTCTAACATTAATAATTAAAACTCCTCAAGCAGGGTTCAGGTCATGGAAAGTGAAAATACTTATGCCAGGAAACTTCATCAAACAAAAATATTTGTAGAGTAATACTATAAACTTTCAAAAAATTAATTCAACTATAGTGTTAACTTCAATTATATTCTGAAATTGCTACCCAAACTACATAAATAGTCATATATCTAAGAAGTAGTAGAAAAGAAGCAATAATTGCTAACAACCTGTGAAGACAGTCCACACACCAGGCTAAAAAAACCCAAACAAACAAACAAACAAAAAAACCCAAACCACAAATAAAAATCCTGAAATCCACTGACAAAATTACCTAATTTGGTGCAACTACAGTGTCCATGCCACTTACTGAACTGATGCTGACAACTGCCAACTAATAGGCCAAAAAAGGAAAATAAAGTCAACAAATAGTTTTGAATTAATTAGACTCAACACTTAATGAGGTTAAGTTTCAGAACTACAAATCCTTACAGAAATGCTAAAAACCATGGCTTAATATTCTCTTTAACCAATAAAAGATGTAGCAATGTCATGGTCTGCAGGAACTACAGAAGTGCATACCTTTTCCTTTTTGAGCTTCCAGTATCAGATGTAGCAGAAGAAATCATACTGTCCCCATCCTCAATGTCGTCTCTCCTAGCAAGCTCCTTCTTCTTTGCCTGGAAAAAGAAGAAATCCCTGAAGCCAAACTGACTGCTGGACATTTCCAGAACAATACTAAACATCAGAACAGATAAGATGCACAAAGAAAGATGCAACTATGGGTTTTGAGGCTAAACCACCATCAAAATATTTCCAGTGATTTATTTAATAAAAGTTGGCTGCCATAAAATGGCAGTATAATTCTTTTTAACTGTCAGAAAAATTTCTGAGGAATCAATTTGAAGACAATGCCATTTCAGACTGCAGCACTTAGCTAGAACATTTCATGAAATGAAAACCCTAAAAAAACCCCCACATCACCCACTTCCTCACAACTTAACTGGGTTGAGTCATAGTAAGGAATAAAAGTGACCAAAAGAAATCACAGAAGGCAGCAGATGTGCTGAAGAAAAATCACCCTATGATCCTCTTCATTCCCGTCCTTCCCCCTAAGCAAGAAATACTACTGCAAATACAGGTTTAGTTAAAAATTATTTCTGAAAAATATTCATTAGGGAAATAAATTCACGAGTGAAGTTATATCCTTTTGATTGTTCTACTCCACATACCTGCATAACCTGCTGCATTTTCAGTACTCTCTTATAGATGGCAGAATTGGGAACGTTGTAGCGCTTGGCATTTTCAAACATCAAGTTCAGATCAGCCTCCAGCTGATCTAAAGTTTCATATTCATGGTTCTTCAGTTTGGTTCTGCAAAAGAGTGGAATATCTCATTGGTATTTCTCAAGTTGCACATTGCAACACAGCTCTTTAACATCTTCATTTTCACAATAAACCAATATCCAGAGAGCTCTAATTACAGCAACATGTTTTCTTTTACTGATGCTGCAGTAGCATCTTCCAATTGTAACTACATTAGGCAAACATTATCTCCTCCTAAAGAATGATTTTAATAATTCTGAAAGCTGCCCTCTTGAAAGTTGTGCAGCCTGAAGTCCTGTTTTCATACTTGGATGAGACGTGGCACAAATAAGGCAGAAGCACAACCTGCTGAGACTATGCCAGTATGCCTCAGCTGTGACATGTAGGGCCTGGGTATGATGTCACTGCGACGGGGTAGCTTCACACAGTCACAAACACTGCCTTCCCTACCAAA